CCAAAATCAATGCATCTGAGACCCACAGTGTCCAAATATGATAGACTTTCATATTTACTAGACAGATTTCCTTAACTATCCCCATTTGAAAGGGGCTCAGCAAACACCAGTTTTCAGTCTACTATAGTATTATTATCATAAATTATAATTATTTACATACATAGTATAAATTTTTAATTGTTATTTATATTAAGCACATGCACACAACCACACACACACACGTGCACACACACACACACCACAAAACCTTGGGGGAATCAGAGGACAACTTCATGGAACTGATTACTGTTCCTGCCCTTTTATTTTATTTTTTCAAATATGGATTCCAGGGATTGAATTTAGGTCATCAGACTTCAGGTGCTTTTATTCAATGATTTTTCTACCAGCCCCACAAATTTCTTTTTCTTTTCCTTATTCTTGACTGTGTCTCCAGTGAAGTAAAAATTTCATAAGTGTAAATGGCATAGTAGACACACTGTCATTCACAGTACAAATACATACTGGGTTGTTAATAAATATGTTTAGTTGAGTCATGTGTAACTAAAGGGATAAAGAGATAAAAATAATGATGGAATAAGTTCACTGTAACAAGAGAGGCAGAAAAAAGAGGCAGAAACCACAAACAGAAAGTAAAATTCTACATTGTGTAAAACTCTTCACTGATGATTTCAAGTGTTATGGTTATTATAGTGATAAATACTGACTGAATCTAATAAATGGCCTCTGGATGGATGAATGATTCAGGATAAAAATGGAATGATTGCCTCCAAAGATTGGAAAGTCCTTAGACTTAATTGTTTATATTCACAAAGTGATTATGTTATTGAGGGAGTAAGGTGAACCAGGCAGAAAACTGAAAATACAGACATGAAGGAACTGATGTAGATTTCATTTATTTTATTCACTGGGTACCATCTGTGACATAAAGTTGTGTATAACATTATTGTAGGTCAGTTACTTTATGCCAGTTTCCTCACTGTGTCTAACATTAATTTCTTCGTATAGTTTATTATCCCCATCATTTTCACTATCTTCACGGGCATCATCTGTCTCAAGCATCCACAAACCTGCTGATCTTTTCATTGTACTTCGACATTTCCTATCTTTTGTTTTTTCTTTGCTCCTTTTATCTTCTTTATCGCTAATGCAATGGGTTTTTTCTCCATTGACTGCTGGAGGGTATTGAATTAATGACCTATGTAAACAAAGAAGCAGTGTAAGTTTGGCTAAAGTTAACATGCTTCATTTTTAAACAAACTAGCCCAGAAGTATCACATGGCTACATGTTTGTTTTCTTCTATCACGTGACACAATCAGTCGAGTTCAAGGGACAAGGTATAAGTAACTGCTGGCTGGAAAAGTAGTGCCTTAGCGTGAGAAACAGCACTGCTCACCTTTATTGTTAAACAGTAGACTCTTCCTTTCAGGACAAAAATAGAGATACAGACAACATGACTAGAGACTAATGCTGCACTTCTTCAGAGCTCTGTGTGTGTAGCCCAGAATCCCTTGGTGTTTTTTTAAATAATGTCCTTATTCAAAGCAGATCTCATTATCAAGAAAAATATCCCTGTTTTAGAATATCCCACCATGCACCTCTTGTAGTCTCCCTTGTTTCCAATGGGAAAACTCTTTACTCATAAGCAAAAGAAAATCTACAGTGTCATAGGAAAAACAAAGGCAGAATAACTTTTAAATTATTGAAAAAATTTAGGTAATGTACCTGTCAAGTTATATTTATCCCACTACCCTTTGGTGGCATTTTCTAGTGGCATCAGATAAGATCCAAAATCGCTTCTGTAGTCACCAACAGAGATAAGAAACTGAGGACATTACTAATTTAAAAACAGAGTAATCTATTGAAAGCAAACACTCTGTGATTAAAACACTGGGATTTCTCTCCCCTTCTCAAGTTCATTTATTGCTTTAAATGAATCCACATTCCAATGTCTTTATCTTTTCCCCTGTCTTCCAAAAAGCCATCTGCTATTTCTTTTATGAAAAAGTAAAACCTACAATTAGTGTCTTGTTAATCTTTTCTTTCTAAAAAAAAATAAAGAAAAGAAAAAGAAAAAGGAGAGAGAGAACAATTATGCAAATTCTCTGCAATTTAGTTTCAAGTACTCTTTGTAGTGTGATGAGCAATTTTCCTTAATACATACCCAGCTTTTTTTCCAAGACTTACTAATAGATTTTTAAAAGAGAACTTTCAATGTTCACATGAAAAGTCATCTAATGTAAACTTTTCAGATGTACACAGAGAATGACATTAACATTATCCTTTATGTGGTAGAGGAAAACAACCATTCTATATATTTCATCCTTTGAAAAATAATAATCGCAAAGTGGTCCGTCAACCTTAAGCATCACCATTCCTTCCACTTTAGGAAATGCCTGTATATATATCGCACTAAGTCAGAGAAAGCTCTTTTCTTTGTTTCTTCCCAAAATAGATTTTGTCAGGGATGTAGTTTCCCGATGAGCACCAATCTGTCATTTGATTCTATTTGGTCCTCGGTAACTAATGTGTGTTTTTGCTTCCTTCATTCCATTATGGCTAATATGAGGTGTTTGAAGCTGTCTTGCTAACAAGATAAATGTCTGCAGTATAAAGTCCTGATGAAGCCTGAGGGAAAATATACAATATTTTTTGCATTCTATAAAATGAAAGCACATTACTAATCAGACTGTTGTAAAACTGATATTGCTGCTGATAAGGCCAATCCCTTGGAAGAATGAGGCACTGATACTCAGTTTCCTGTTTGTTTAGCTAAAAATGTCTATTTCTTTTGACTAGTCACATGGTCAAAATTAGGATCTAACAATGTTTGTGACTATTGGTTTTGTAATGATTAGAGACTTAACTCAATTGTGCCAGCAGATCTCAGAGATTTCTACTTTTTACATTAGCTTCATATACCTGCTTGCTACATTTTCTACCTATAAGTCATACTTCTAGACTTAATTTTCTACCTAAAGATCTAGGACTCCTGTACTAAACCTAGTAATACTAACACATAGGAAAATTCATGATCCACCAAGAAAGTAACAAACTGAATACAATCAGTATAAATGTAACTTAATTAGATATTTATCATTTCACATTTAATTAAATATTTAATTTAATGCCTAAATAATTATGATATTTAATCTGAGTAGATTTTTTTGCTCATTTGTTGATGTGTTGTATATAGATTACACATGTACACATGTATAATTTGGTAAAAAAAAGCCTTCGGGTTCGTGTTATGACTACAACAAATTGATACTACATTAAATAATATAATAATACTAAATTCCCCTGTCCTACATCTTTGTAAAATATTTATAACTACATGGCTTTGTTCCAAGTGTTTGCTGAGCTACATAGTAAGTGGCATTAAATTTTTTCAACTTCGTAAATACACACAGGGCCACATGAATGTTTTCATAATTTACCGGGTTCCTGGAGGGAAAAGGGAAGGGCTAGTTGAAGGGCTTACTCATCTTGGAAGACTGGAGGGTAACAGTGACTTCAGCTGCTGCCACAAAAGGAGTAAAACTAAGCTCTTGTTTGAGATGGGATGATCCATGTTCCATCACTTTATCTGCTTTTCTAGAATGTTTCTCTGCCTGTTCGCCTGATAGACACATCCACAGCCCTTTCTGTTTTGTCACAGAAGGCAGAGGCAGATCTGTAATTTCAGTGTTCCTAAGTGAGCCTTGAACTGTCTTTTGAAATCAACTTCCCCCTCCTGGCTCTGCCTCCTGAATGCTGGGTTTAAGGCATGCACTACAATGCCTGGCATGATATTGAAGTTTTTAACTATTACAGGAATGTTATGTTCCACTGTATCCTAAAATGTGGACAGTATTGTATCTTAATTTGTTGGATTGTTTACAATTAAAGTACTACTGGCATGAATATTATGTTGCTGGTACTATGTGACTTAGTAAAATCAAAGGTCTTTATAATTTTCACAGGAGTATTGTTTTACTTACTCTGTTCAAGAAATGCACATATGAAACAGTAAAACAAAATAATATTCTTTAGGATGATGTTTTATATTGATATTTATAATAATTTTAAATTAGAGGCTAATTATAGGATGTACTATGTATTACAATATGGCTATATTTTCATCTTCTTTAATTGAATATCAATATGAAATAATTTGTTACTTTGATTTCATTTTGTCAGATGAAGAGATTGATACAGATAAAATTTTTCAGTTTCATGTAGCTCTCACACATTATATGTCTATGAGTGGGGCATCTCTTTATCTTTTTAGAAAAATGAAATACATTTGAGTAAACATAGGAGAATGGAGCAGACAACTTTTTGAAGTCCTTATTCTTCTTTTTAAATCAGCATTGAACATATGTATTATAATTATTTATTTGCAATTTTAGAATTTATATATCTCCCATGTTCTAGCTCTACATGAATAATGGGTTAGTTGCTTAGGTCACCTTATTGTTCTTGAGAATAACTACATTTGTATAGCTAGTATTTTCTAGGATAAGATTAAAAATTAAAAGTATCTGGTGTAGTGTTCATTTTTACATAATTGGGCAAATAAAATATTATATTGCTCATACTATGAAAAAGAAAAATATAGGTTCTGATTTATTAGGTAGCTATTCTATAGTTGCATTCCGTTTGTGATATAGACCATTTAGTGCTTAATTTTATTTACTTATGTCAATCTAGGCATGAAATGCTTTAGAATTGATCACATGGTTAGTCGAGTCTACTGAGTACTTTCTTTGAGACTAGGTCTCACTGTATGGCCCTACCTGGCCTGGAGCTCAGGGCGTATAACAGGCTGGCCTCAAAAGTACAGAGCTTCACCCACCTCTGCTTCCTGAGTGCTGGGATGAGAGGCACAGGCGCTGTATCTGACTCACTAAGTACATTTAAAATCCATGAGACACCTTTCATCTAAAGTAAGTAATCGAAATACTGAGGAATACTGAGCTGAAATGATGGTATTATGTTGCTGTTGTTATTGTTACAGGAGGCTCTGATCATGGCTAGCATGGACCACCCACACCTAGTTCGCTTACTGGGCGTTTGCCTGAGCCCCACTATCCAGCTGGTTACCCAGTTGATGCCCCATGGCTGCCTGCTGGACTATGTCCATGAACACAAGGATAACATAGGGTCACAGCTGCTGCTGAACTGGTGTGTGCAGATTGCTAAGGTAAGTGCTATCTTTATTTATTTATTTTTTTTTGGTTTTACTAGACAGGGTTTCTCTGTATTGTTTTGGAGGCTGTCGGTCCAGCCCGGCCTCGAAATCACAGAGATCCGCCTGCCTCTGCCTCCCGAGTGCTGGGATTAAAGGCATGCGCCACCAATGCCAGGTGATAAGTGCTGTAAAAATGCTATTTGGGAGTTTATCTCCTGATCTGGAACAGTCTGGCTATTGAAATTATGCATTGCCTTTTAACTATTTAATATCAATAAATTCTACTGCTGAGTTAAATGACATATTATTGTAAGTACTTCAACATGGAGCATGGATTTAGTACATGTTACATATATGCATATATGCAATATATACATAGTCTTGTGGGCGATTTTTCCAAGGTATTCCTATTAGATTGACTAAATGCTGAAACACAGAACACATTAGTCAGGGGGATAATTGCTGTTGTAGACTTGTTTGGCTTTTTAAAAAATGAACTCAAGTTAGCAAACAAAATGAAGAAAGCAAAAATGTCATGTCATAATTGTTTCATTCTATTGGGATTTATGAAGACAGCCTATAGAATTGTAGAATTGTCAGCATTATCAATGACAGGCTCAGTGGCAAGCATCTGTACACAATGAGTCATCTCACCTGCCGCTGTGCACCTTTAAGCTTTGTTGCTGCATCCGGGGAGCTCACCGTTGAGTATAGGCCCAGATTTCATAATTCTGAGACCTTCCTCAGAGTTGGGAGGGCTTCTGCCACATTATTGTCGGTTTGTATTTCCTGGCTCTATTAGTGTTCAGTTTAATCAGCAGAGAATCCCCTTGTCTTTCATGTCAGGTTATAAACCACTGACATTAGTGGGAGGGGTGATGGTAAAACAATGTCTCTCAGTGCTGTTGCTGGAGAGGCAACTCAACAGTTAAGAGCCCTGACTGCATTTCCAAGGACCTGGCTTCCATTCCCAGCACTCACATGGCTGCTCATGGTTGAACCTCCAGTTCTAGGAAATCTGGCACCCTATTTTGGCCTGTGCGAGCACCACATGTATGTGGTGAATAGACATACATGAGGGCAAAATACTTGGACACATAAAAATAAATTTTGAAAAGAAGTGAGCTATCATTCCTCACAATTGTGGGGATGGGTGGGGGTGGTTATAGGTGATATATATATATATATATATATATATATATATATATATATATATATAGCTAGTTCTCCCTAGTATTATTAATCACTTTTGCATAGATGCAAATAAAATACTCAAGAAAACAACTATTAAAAAATAAAAACATATTTTGACCAGCAATTTCAGATTCTGCTTATGACAGATCATTTCAGTAATTTCTTTTTGATAATTGATTTCAGAAGATATGTCTTCTGTGATAACTTACGTACTTCATAAGTCTACATGATTTTTAGATGAGTTTAGTAATTACACAACTGACTTTTGTTTTATTCGCCATTCTTTATTTCATTACTTTTAATATCCATATCATGTTCTTATTGAAAGCTAATGAAATCTGATTTTCTATGTCCCATGAAGACTGGTAGCTGAGCCTTTCTTCATTTTTGTGGAGTAAGTTGTTTGGAAGGGAAACAGGAGAAAGAGGAACCACTCTTGATTTAAGAATATGATTAGATAGAAAAGTAGAGTTCTGGTTGGAAAACTCCATTCCTTCTCTGTGCACAGACATTGCCTTCCTAAAGATTATATGTATAAAGTGAACAAAGACTATATTTAATTTCTTTCTTTACCCAATTCAATTTTTCACCAATACTAACTACATGGAGTGACAGAAGACTAAGTTCTCATTGATCCAGCCTTTTGTATCTCTGTGAATATAAATTAACTTCAAGTCTGGAGATCTGGTGCAAGATAAATGCACACACTAGTGTTTGACATTTCTGAGATCTTTCTATTTAAAACCAGATGCTGTGTGCACATAAGACGTCATTCACTGTGTATGTATACAAACTACCAAATCAGAAAATCGCAACCTGCTGTTACTTAATATATTGAATGACAACTAAAGTTATTTAGAAACATGAATATCAGTTAAATGAGTGAGTTCTTTCATTGTGTTGTGATGGAGAAACTTACATGGCACGAAAGACAAAAAGTTAAATGAAATTCATAATATTGGTGCTGCAATTAAAGTCTGTATCATGACAGTGAAAATCCACTGTTAAAAGTTTAAATGTGGATTTGTTTTATACTCATTTGTTCATAAAAATGCTAGTTTATTATTTATTATCTGTACTGACATTGCTTAAATTAGAATACATATATTTAAGTGAAGTGTCAAATCTTTTAAGAAAATCATAAGTATGATTCCAGTTCAGTAGGAAAATTTAGGTTAGGGTACATATCTCCAGGGGTGCTTCAAAATAACTGCAAACTAATGGTGAAAACTGATTTTCAAACTATGGATGTCCTCAATTATGTCACAGATACCCACTGCTAAATACTTTTTTCACTACAGTGATTTTTCATCTCTATATATTTCACAGATTCATATCTCTAAATTAGAGATTTGAGAGTTGCCTCTCGGTGGGTAATTACCTGTAGTGTTTGTCTAGTCAGGAGGGAATTGTGATTTTTATTAATTAAAAACACACACATCAAGTATGTTATTCAGGGTTTACCCTAAAACGGGAACTAATATGGTGCATATAGATTCAGAAAGATTTTTATTGAAAATAATCTATTTGTGATGTTATGGAATGATGAAAACTCTGGTAAGGCAGGAGAGCCAATTCTATAAGTGTAGTCCAAACCAGTGTGTACATGCACTCCAATCCAATCCCAGCAAGATCCCAATCATGGAAAACTCAATATTTTGGGTCAAATCCAAGTCTGAGTGCAGGAGAAATAATGATTCCTTAGTTCAATGGCAATCAGGCAGAAAGAGATTGACCCTTCTCAGAAGTCAGGTTTCCTATTTTATTTAAATCTGTAACTGAATAGATCCAGCTCCCTCCCCCCTTAAATTAGGTCAGGAAGTGGTATTTCCTCAGTCTACCAAATGAAATGTCAATCTCATATAGAATTACTAATAGACACATTGGAAATTATGTTTAACCAAATGTCTGAGCACCTCTTAGCTCAGTTAATTGGCATTTACAGTTTGCTATCATGTGGAGCTATGAAGTAGCTTTTCTTATAATCTACCCAGGAATGTTGACACAATAATGAAGAAAATAAAAACTAATGTTTTGTGTGTTGAGAAATGAGAGATAACACATACAACAGAATTTAGAAGGAAATAACTTTTATTCTCTCTAATTTACTGCCACCACCTATCATCTCCATTAACATAGACCAACTCTAGATGGCTTTAATCTGTTTCTACTAGAGTTGAATGGACAATATTTTGATACTATTATGCTGGCTAAATGTGTGATCTCTCAGATATGTATGCTAAGAGAGCTTCCATGCTTATATATCTGTTAATATAATATAAAGAAAAACAATGTTATTTAAAATGAAATATCATCAAAAGTAAATAACGACTCCTACAGGAAGATGGGATAATGTAGTAGAAACATTATCCACATAAAATAACAATCTGTGTATGAGTCCAAAGTCATACTTATGAACCCTTCAGCATCCATTTCTCCCATTTCCCTTCACTCTTTTATGACATTCTTGCTCAGTTCAGAGAGAGCCCTACTCCACACATGTGCCATGGCCCTGGATAGTTCACAGACTTACGTAAGGAATTCATGAGGGAAGAAAAGAAAGAAGACAAAGACAGGAGAAGAATGGAGGGAAAGTAAAGAGAGACAATAAAAGGAGAGGGGAGAGAAATGGAGGGAAAGAGGAAGGAAGGTGTATCAGTTTCTGTTCAAGCCAACTTTTAGAAGAAAGTTTTATTTAGACTTATGGTTCCAGACGGGTAAGGGTCCCTCCTGGTAAGGGATAGTGGTAGCAGAGACAGACATAGCAGCAGGAGAACTGGAGAGATCAGATCTTGAACTGCAAGCTGGAATCAGAGAGAGGAAAGTAGTACCGGCATGACTCTAACACTATGAAATACAACCTCCAGCAAAATACTTCCTGCAGTAAATAATACCACACCTCCTAAGCTTCCCCAAACAGGTCCACCAAGTACTAAATAATCAAACGCTCAAGACTATTGGGGATATCTCATTCAAGCCACTACATGAGGGAAAAGTACGATGAAACTACGTAATTGACTGTGAACTCTCTCTTAAGCCTCAGAAAAAGAGAGCATTTCCTTACTATGTGTACACATTCAGAACCTTTTTTGTCTCTTTCTCTCAAAAAAAAGAATGAAAGACCTCATAAGTACCTCCCAACACGTGATTGAAACAGAATTTCCAACCAATTTGCATGGGTGTGCACAAACCCGGAATATTTGTCCCAGTTTTATTGAAGTATGATTGACAAGTGAAAATTTAATACATTTAGTGTGATTATTAGAGATAAATATGTAATGAAATTAAAGCCTAGCCGCGTGCTCTTCATCTCATCTGGCTCCATTGTCAGCACATGGATAGTGAGATACATTTTACTCTTTGGAGGGAAGGGAAGTGTGCAACTGAGTACTTGGACTTGAGTGTGCACACATATGTCACCTGTGGGCAGTCTCCAACTCCATGGGTGTAGGGTAAAGGGAGAAGCCAAAGTCTGGGCTCCTTACCCCACATGCCAACAGTGATCCTCTTCCCTCTTCAACTCTGAAGGATTTAGGCTCAATTCAAGTAGAGGAGTTCAAACTCTCCCTTTCCCAGTAGAATTTTTACCACTGATGGTTAAATGTAAGTATTTTCAAGCAACAGAACTTAAGTGAGGGTTGTCTCCTTACTTCTGAGAGAAGGGTAGGCTTCCCAAGTGGACTCACAGTACAGAAATCCTTTGGGGATGTTAAATCCAGACTAGGAACCCTATTCCTATTCACCCACAACAGTAAACACAGTGTGCTAACTGATACGACCTCATTGAAGCATTTTGCTGGGTGAACTAAAGAAAAGAA